ATTTACAAATTTGTAGCTCAATTAAATTCCGTTTGCTACTCAATTGTTCGTCCCAAATAATTTAAGTTGTTACATTTTAGGCCTAATTATAGTATCGTCTCAAGTCAGTTTATCAAGTATGTGATCTACCGTTGAATTCTTCTCGTCGAGACGACCGTTTACCCAAAATTTCAAACCAGTGGGAGTTCGTTTGCTCAGTCTATTGTCCCGTCTAAAGTTGTATGCACAAACTATATGTTCGGTCTATGAATGGCTCGTGATAAATTCAAATAATTCAGCATTTATCCTGCTACTAATGATTAGTGTACCTTATTTGATAATTTTTATAAATTAATATACCTGTCTGACAACAAAATTGATCTTTGAAAAATATAGTGGAATAATAATAAAATTATGCATTCATTTTTCTATAAGTTCTGTATTTTAATATTGAGTTACTCCCATATTTGGATAGTCTCATCTAAAATTGAAATGAATAAATACCACAATCCATTTATGTCCTAGCTAATCATTTATTCCGACTATTTGTTATTGGTCGTGCTGTCGTAGGCATCCAAATTAACCTTGCTTAAAAATATGTAGTAGCGTAAGCAAGGATCGTATCCACGGGGAGAAGTAAACTAAATCTATTAACTATGTGATCAAAGAAGGGGTTTTTGAATTAATGATCTAATTAAACTAGAAATTACCTATCAAACTAACAAATAAATAAAACAAAACTAAATAAACAAAAATGAATATAATATGAATATGCCTTGGTTGAATTGATTTTCACCCTAGACTGTTCCACTAATCAATGATGCAAAAATATAAACTCACAATCCACGCAACTGCTGTTGAATATAAATTCCATCTCCTGGTTTAGTCACGCAAAATAAATCCTTCTACGAGACTCTTATAAATAGTTAATTCCCAACATCGTGAAGAATTATTCTAGCAATAGCATTAAATACAAGAGACCGACAGTCCAAGCAATAAATAACTAATCCGTGAAATATTAACTTGTTCAATTATTTCGCCTAAGAACGACAACGCCTAAATCCGGTCAATCATCTATCTTAGTTGCTTCTAGTGAAAGACACATGATCTATATCCGACTCAAGTATCAATCAAGCAATAGATCATAAGCATAGAATAATAGGTGGCCAATCCATCAACTACACATAACAATCATAAAAATATGCACACGAAACATTGATGCGGAAAATATATGAATTGGAATAAAAACTAATTCGATCTCACAGTAGTAGGTCTGGGTTTCGATCGTCTTCAACCAAGACAAAGATAAATTAGCCGCGCAGGGCTATCATAAAATAATCCAAAAGAAAAGAAAAATAATGAAGAAAAGAAGAAAAGAAGAAGGGAGAGCCGCTGATGTTGTGCTCTGTTCTTGCGTGTCTGCTCCAAGCAGATCCCTAGCAGATCCGTCCTCTCTGTTCCTTGCGGCTGTCACGTTATATACTGCTCATGGGCTTTAGTTAATAGGCCCAATTATAAGAGATAGAATCCAGAATATACCAACATGGCCATGTTACATTTAAATTGTAATTCCGACACTGCCATGTCAGTTATAAATGTTTTTTCTTCCGAGGCACATCGAACTCTCAATTGCTCCAAAGTTGAATCTTCCATTTGACATGCTAAAGAGCCTTAGATCTGCACAGAAATTCGAACACATGTAGTTTCCACTCGAAAATACAAGATAATGTCAAACATATGTCAATTAAACTCAAATATCTAATATAAATCTTAAATTAATTCACTAAATCGACACATATTTTTTACTTATCAGTTATGCTCTAAAATTAACTAATCATTTATGACTTATCAGTTATGCTCTAAAATTAACTAATCATTTATTCTGACTAATCATTTATTCCGACTATTTCTTCAAATATGTTCTGCACTAAAATTAACTATTCATTTATTCCAAAAAACTTAGAAAATATCTTATTTAATATTATAAAATTTTCAATATTTTAAAAAATATTTTTATGTGATACTAAATATACTTTAACATTATAAAAGGATTATTAACAAAATTTATTTTCACTATTACAAAATATGATAATATAGTTTCTCCAAAATATTCCCAAGAAAAACTTTGAAACAATCTATCAATTTATAAATAGAATAGAGAAATTATTCCTAAAACACCCCCATTATTTCACATAAAAAAGGTTTGAATGTAATTCTCTTACATGTGCACCACTTGATATCATACTTTGAAACTGCAAATCATCTCTTAAAAAAGGCTGTTATTAATAAACCAACAAAATTTAGAATAATAGAACTCAAAAGTTAGGACAGAGCACTGTGATTAACGCAACAGACGGATATGCACAGTATCAAATCCATATTTTCTACCCTATTGCAAAGTTTGAACAGAAGACTCTTTGAACCTTCTTAATTTAATTAGAAAAGCCCATTTTTGGACAAACTTGTCCTTAATTGCACATGTTAGCATTAACTAAGAGCCCCTTGTCATAAACTATTCTGCCTATACCCTTAATAAAACCTAAAATTCTTGACCACTCGATCTGCTTAGATTCATAGATCAAATAATCTGATAAAGACGAGCTCGTGATAATTTTCTTGAAGAAATACGACCAAATTTCAGCGTTAAAATAATTATTTATTCTCATAATTATTATTCCTATGATACCTTACTAGTGCATAGCCCGTGCAATGCACGAGACACATATATTAATTGAGTCATTTCTATAGAGCTTGTACATTTTGGCAAAAAATAGGGTTGCATCATCAGTTTTCCACTTCTTTCAATCAGTTATATTTATTTTAGTCATAACGTTGATATATTAATTAATATATCATTCTGCTTACACGTTATACTAATATAAATTTAATTTTACAATACATATTTATTCATCGATATAAAAAAAAATATTCTTATTCTTGTTCACCATTTAATACTCAATTAATATTTTATTATAATATTTGTTGTCATATAATGTCATTATTATTATTTATAAAGGTTATAATAGTTGTCTACTTCTTCTTAGTTTATGTAATGAAGTTTAAAATAAAATTTTGTGTATAAATGTTTATAAAATACACACACATGTTTTTTAAAATTTCTCATAATAATTAAAAAAATTTGATTTAGCAAATTGTCAAATAATAAACCCTTATATAATCAAGAGATTTTTCAAATTTGCATCCTAAGGTTTTATTAGTTTATTTAACATACTATGCAATATAAATATATATTTTACAATAAATTCATTATGGAAACAAATAAAAATAAAAAATGATAAAATTATCGTGGTTGACAATAATATACAAATAAATCAAATATTGAAACTGTAAAGAATAGTTAATATATTTAAATTTTATTATTTAGCCGTTAATAAATTATTTAATGGTGTGATCATTATCTCTTAAATAGTAAATTATTTTAGTTTAAAGAGATTATTTGTTCATATAATTAAATAAAGGTTAAAAAATATTATCGAAAATTATTATTCACCAACTGGATTTCGGCTAATTAGTTAGAGGGAGAATTATTTAACATGTTACGATTGTTTATAAATATTTTAGGATGAAAGTCAATATTTTTGAAAAAAAAAATTAATATTATGATTAAGACTTAAAATTTGTTTTCATGGTTATGTTGACAAAAATATTATCAACACCAATTACGAAAAATCAAATTATAGTTTATTATAATATCAATAAAATTATTGCATATGATAATAAAATTATTCAAGGAAAGAATCTTTTTGATCATATATGATTTGGAAATGTGTATATATTAAAGCAATTAATGCATATATTTAAAAGTTTCCAAATAAAGTATGCATTAAATGCTCATTGACTTTTTTGCTACTATATTAAGTAAATAGTAATTCTTTATATATATATATATATAGATTCATCTCTTTTTATTGTTAAGATAATATTTATCTTTTAGGATTAAAACCTAATTATCAAGTTAGGTCCTTATAAGGCATATGAGTCTATTATTCTGTTGGAGACTGGTTTGGACGATCAATTTTGTTGAATAAGAAAAATTATCTGCTTGAGATTTTCATCTCTTTTTTTTTTTCGTACGCTGGGCTACACTAGTTGGTATCCAGAGACTAGGTACAATCCGTGATGCCTCCACGACGTAACGATGCTGAAGATCAATGGGATGCCGTCTTCACGCATTGATGCGTCTGACCATCTCATGGCAAACCTCACGTCTAGGATCGAGGAGATGACGTTGGCCTTCAATACTTGGCTGCACGGCAAGCACAAGAACCGCGACGTAGCCGACAGATGCGGCGGTCGCGGTAGATTACACAGGGCGCCCTACCAACGTTCGCCACCTTCGATCAGCGATGAGGAGAACGACGAGAAAGACACCATGTCCGAGGTTAACCCATTTGGCGTTCGACGGGATCCACGCGAGGAAGACAGGTTCGAGGACACACGTTGGGTGGCTGCGTTCCGTGTCGACGTCTCAGAGTTCTCGGGTGACCTCGATGCGGCCGAGTTCCTCGAATGGATGGCCGTTGTGGATTCTATCCTCGGGTACAAGGAGGTTCTAGAAGATCGTCGGGTCGAACTCGTCACCACACGTTTGCATGGTCGATCCGCCGCATGGGGGCAGAACCAGAAAACAACACGACGTCGTCTCAGAAAGTCAAAAATCACGTCGTAGGACAAGTTTCGCAAACATATCGAACGTGAGTTTTTCCCATTTAACAACAACTTCAAATCTGCAACAAGGCGCAAGGTCCGTCGATGAATACATGGATGAATTTTATCGTCTTCTGAACCGAGTGGATGTGTAGGAGTCCGACGAGCAGTTAGTGTCCCGTTATATTGGAGGGTTGTGAATGGCGATTAAGGATACGTTGAATCTATTCTCACCAGACACCGTTTCAGATGCCTATCAACGTGCGTTGCTTGTGGAGCAACAACTTGCACGTCGTTTGTCTTCGGGCGAATTTCAACCGCAGCACACGACACCTCCACCTTCAGCTGTAGGGATGGGCCATCCATCGGCGGCAGTGGGCCCCCAAATAGATCGCAGCAGCATGAAGGGCAGCGGCAATGCAGCTACTTGGGGTTTGGCAGGATTTGCCGGCAGATTTGGAGCGCCGACTATGGAGGTCGGGTCATGGCCAAGAGGCGGCCTTCGTTGTTTTGCGTGTGGAGAGGCAGGACACAGACAAACGACTTGCCCGCGGCATGGCATTTCGCGCGCACTATTAGTTGAGGCGGATTCCAAGGGCCACAATGAGGTTGTGTATGATGCACCTCTGATCTATGATGATGTACCCGAATCGCCTGAGGAACACCTATGTGGCGACGTGGGCTATGCCTTAGTTATTCGACGGTCTTATTTATCACCTCGGGCATCGGCCGAGGAGTCTATACAACGACACCACATTTTTTAATCAACATGTACTGTGGGTGGTCGCGTGTGCCGGTTCATTAACGATTTCGGTTAATGTGAGAACGTTGTGGCCCAAGATGCCGTCGAGTGTCTTTTTTACCGACCAAGCCGCATCTATATCCTTATACATTGGCCTGTATTCAGCGAGACAACTCTATCACCGTCGATCGATGGGATTTTGTGAATTTTTCATCGGCCCTACATATCGGGATATAGCATGGTGGCATGTTATTTCCATGGACGCGTGTCATCTTATGTTGGGTCGACCATGGCAGTTTGATTGGTTGGTGGTTCATGACGATCGTCTAAACACGTATAGCTTTATGTTTGAGGGGGTCCGACTTGTGCTCTATCCGTCTTTTCCTCATCCATTGGTTAACGCCGAGCCTTCACCGATTCTATTTCTTTCTCGCGCAGCATTTGTCGGTGAGATATGCGAGGCATCGTTTGTGATACTTCTCTTAGGGTCTGATGTAGGGATCGACCAGTCCATCTTGGTGATTATTCGTCCGTTACTTGAGGAGTTTGCCGATGTCTTCCTGGATGAGCTACCATCCGGTCTTCCTCCGCTTTGGGACATTCAACACCATATTGATTTGGTGCCAGGATCTTCACTGCCAAACCGACCACATTAACTCATGAGTCTAGCAGAGCACGAGGAGTTGTGACGCCAGGTGGAGTCCCTTTTGCAGCGTGGTGTCGTTCGACGCAGTCTGAGCCCATGCTCCGTACCAGCTTTACTCATCCCGAAGAAGGATATGCCGTGGCAAATGTGTGTTGATAGTAGGGCAATTAAGAAGATTACCGTATGTTATCGGTTCTTGAATCCACGTCTTGACGTTTATTGGACCATCTACATGGCGCATCTGTCTTCACTAAACTTGATCTCCGCAGTGGTTACCATCAGATCCGCATAAGGCCGAGAGATGAATGGAAAAACACTTTCAAAATTCGGGAGGGTCTTTTTGAGTGGCTGGTTATGCCGTTTGGCCTCTCAAATACGCCCCGCACTTTCATGCACGTGATGAACCAGACGTTGCGTGACCTCATTGGGTGGTGTGTTGTCGTTTATTTCGACGACATCCTCATTTATAGCCGCACGTTGGAGGAACACCTGGATCATGTGCAATTCGTCCTTCTCATTCTACGAGCCGAGGGAAGTGTTTCTTTGTGGTACGTCTGATTCTTTTTTTGGGTTTTGTTATCTCAGCAGAGGATATACGCGTCGATGACGGCAAGGTCACCGCTATCCACGATTGGCCGACTCTGACATCGTTTACGGAGGCTCGCAGACACCATTTCAGTTCTATCATCATACCAATCACGGACCATCTTACTGGCATGATGTTTGTGTGGACACCACAGGCCGCAGAGGCATATCAAGAGCAAACTGGCGACCATTTTGATTCTGGTTCTTCCCAATTTTTCTCGTCCATTGCGATGCTTCAAAGTCGGGATTGGATCCGTATTAAGTCAGGATGGACGGCCCGTCGCTTTCTTTAGCGAGAAGTTGTCCGGGCCTCGCCTACGCTGCATCACTTATGATGTTAAATTTTATGTGTTGTTTCGTGTTGTCCGCTACTGGTGTCATTACCTGTTCACGCGTGAGTTCGTTCCATACTCCGATCACGAGTCTTTACGCCATCTCTCGTCTCAAGACAATATTTTGGCCCGACTTGCAACTTAGACATCCATCTTACATCAGTTTATATTTTTCTTTTTGTTGACTGATATGAGAGTTTCGGTGGTGGGTTTTGATGTCTTGCGCGATCTCTATCCGCTCGATCCTTTTTTTGGCCCTATCGTCAATAGCCTCGTTTCGGGGCCTCTCGAAGGTTATGTCCTCGCTGATGGTTTCTTGTTTCGAGGGGTGTGTTTATGCGTCCCCAATTGCAGCCATTGTCTGAAGATAGTTGCGGATATTCATGGTTCTGGACATGTGGGTCATGATCGATCCACCGACTTGGCAAAATGAACTTGAGCACACATCACATGCTTTAGTCAACGCCGAAGAAGTAGAGTTGATAAAACGAACTTGAGTAGGTACTGAGGGAGAAGGATGGCCCATCCGTCGATGCCATAATTTAGTCAAAACTATCGTCACTCGTGAAGTGGCCGCAACTACTGTCCCTCAAAAGAAGTACAGTCCTTTCAACTGTTCACTCGCTCCAATCACCATCCTCGTAGTGTGGTCCTAAATAACACAAAATTTATTAGTAAACGTGGCCACACAACTAGCCTGTTACAGCAATTGATATAAGGATATCAAGCTACACTAAAGACTATGAATGAAAAGGACATCATAAAGAATAATATGGGCCCCAAGCCTGACTGTCCCAGCTTGCCTGGCAGTAGTAACCATGCCATTAGACAGTTGTACGGAATGCGGCCGTATGTCATTATTAGAAAGAACTCCAGAAAACATTTCATATGGTGCGACGCACCGCAATCATACATGCAATAAAAAACATTGTGCTTACTAGAAAGTGGAGAATTATTGCAAGCCAAAGTGATGAGATTAACATAAGATTTCCATTGAGCATTAGACAAACCAAAGATCGCGGCGTGGTCGGACTCGCTCAAAACTGCTTTGCTCGTCGAACTGGATATGTAGGCCGAACTGTTGTCGAACATGTTGGGGGGATCACCGAAGGCCACATGAGCACGAGCCTGGTTGCCCCCACCTTCACATTTTCTGCCAGCACTCCGGTCGCCGCCACGACCAGAACCACTATCGCGTCAGCCGTCGTCGGTGACCCACAATTATGGGTAACCGATCACCTCGAAGCATTTGGCCGCAATATGCCCCGTCTTGTTGTAACTGAAGCAGATAAGGTTCTTCGTAGACCGACTTCTAGCAATGTTTTCTTGATTAGGGATAGCCGTTGCGACCAAGGGAGTCCCCCTTCCGTGTGGCAAACTAGAAGTGCAAGCGTCTGCGGCCGCAAAGATAAGACTCGCCGTGCCTTGCACAAGCGCGACATCCAACATGCAGACGAGATTGATTTTGATAGTAAAACTGGATGTCTCGATCGGTGAGTTCTCGTGAAGTGGTGTCAGCATATGTTCCTCGCGAATCATCAAAGAATAGACCCAATTATGATTCGGCATCAGATCCAAAATATGAGATCGCGTCAGGCCACATAAGCTGTCGTCCAATCCCATCAAAAACTGATGGACACGTTCATCCTCCTGGCGCTGATCACATTTCGATTGACGATCGCATCCGCACTTACCATAACGGTAGTCTGGAGAGCGTTCATAGACAGCGAGTTCGTCCCAAAGTTTCGTCATCCGACCGTAGTAGTTTTCGATGCTACTTCATGTCTGTTTGCTTCTGGACAAATCCACTTTTAGTTGTTGTATTCGTGGCCCACTGACGGCGGTATATCGCCCTCGGAGAGCTAGTCAGAGATAATCAATGAAGTCGAGTTTAGAGATTGTCAACCGAACCGTCGGATCGATTTTATTTATGTCCCAACAAAGCAAGGGATGATTGTTGGTGATATAGCCATATAAAGATATACCGGCCCAAATGCTCTCTACTCGACCGGATAGTTGCTCAGACCGTTCATACGTCGACATATGCCCGTCGACATACTCAAGTCGACTTCCGCAAAGTCGACTCTTCCTAAGAGTGACTGCGAGAAATGGTAGATCCCCTACAAGTTAACTTTTAGAAGTCGACTTCGTTCAGTCGAATCCCCAATAGTCGACATCTATTTGAGAAGACCAACAAGAGCGTATCCTCCGAATAACTAGAAGATCCCGAGTCGACCTCTTCATACTCGAGGTCGACTCCTCACACTTCGAGACGTGAAACACACTGATGACCCAACACACTTGTAACATTTCTGGGAACCTCCTGTCCCCCAATGGATAAGAAGGAATCTTGTCATGACTCAGTAATGATGGGAGACGAATCGACCGGGGAAATTTAGACCTTTCAGGTCAACCGACCGGGGCGTTTTTGGTACTCCAAGTAAGTGTTTCCTCTTATATAAAGGAGGTGAGGTAACCCTAAATCCTAACTTCTATTCATTCACACTTTCCTCTATAGTTGCTGCTGCTATCTCAGAGCAGCCTCTCTTGATCTCTTTCATATACTGACTTGAGCGTCGGAGGCTCTACGCCGGAAACATTTCCGGCGTTGAGTTCTTGCAGGTGTTTACGGCGGTCTAGAAACGGTTCGAAGGTGATTCAAGCAGATCTGAGCTCAAAACCATCGGTTCTCTTCAGATCCAGAAGTAGACACATCAGTTGGCAAGCTAATCGTTGTACAAATCCGTTCCCGGTGGTGGACGAGGGATAGAGCCATCAATAAAGCCAATTTTTTTCGAGCACCAAAGGTCGTCCGCAAGCTACAGGCATATTCATCATAAATTGTGCCCCCTTCAGTTGAATGTAGGTGACCAATAAGAAGGGGTTATCAAAAGACGAAATATCATAAGGAAAGATGGAATGTCGAGCGACACCGTCTCCGGCTTGGTAAAAATAGGCGACCATAAAGGAGAAGAAGATTTTTTTTTATTTTTTTTTAAAGTACAGAAACAAAAAACCCTTTTAATCGTCTTCACTTGGGCAGCTAGTCACAGCAAATACTCTAAATTGTGGGAAAATTAATTTTCAATCCAAGACCTGAAATTACTTCAAAACGATTAAAACTACCAAAAATTTGAGATGATTGCCATCACACTAGTTAACAAAGTTCTCACCTGAACCTCACGTACTGACACAAATAAACTATACCCGAATAGGATAATAAACTAGTTAGAAGGGTCGAACATAAAGTTAAAAAGAGAGAGAGAGAGAGAGAGAGAGAGAGAGAGAGCGAGAGAGAGAGAGAGAAGAAATCCAGAGAAGAGAAGAAATAAGAGATTAGGGAAGACGGTTTTTTTTCTGTAACCGAGAGATAACCTTCTCTGACACCATAACAAGAGAAATATTGGGTACCGATTCATCACAATTGTGATGGTCGATTGGAGCTTAGAGCCATACATATTCACAATAAGGAGTTTGGGGCTTACAAGGAAACTAGCCTAATTAAAGCAATTAGCATCTAAATAATATCTAAAAATAAGGTAAAGATATGATATATTAACAGGTAGGAGTTTCGTGTTCTGCTCCTGGGTCGAGGTCCTAGTTTTGTGGGTAGATTTGTTGTTGGCTTTGGGGAGAGCTTAATTTGTTTTGTTTCTAGTACGTCTGTGGTGCATGTGTGATTGTTGGTGTTGGTTTTTGTGTCTGTTGGTGTTTTGTTTTCTCTATTAGTGGAGTTTGTGGTTGGTTGTATTGGTGTTTTGTCGGTCTTCAGTATTTACCATGTGTGGAATTTGTGTGTACTCCCATGGAAGTGTTTTTTGTTTTTTTGTGAGTCGTGTTATATTGTGGTATTTAGACTACCTTAGATAGGCCTCTTGTTTATGGTTAGTTAGTCGTTTGTAATTATGTGTTTATGTTTAATGAAGTCTCGTTTCCAAAAAAAAGTATTTACATAAAAACAAGGAATACAACTTAATTCGATTTTTCTTATCTATGCTTATATAATAAGCCATCCTATTTACTAAATTTAGTAGGAAGAAAAGTCAAAGGACAATTAATGCATTCTATTTCCATCATTTTTTCAATTGTATTATTATTTTATAGCTAAAAAATCGGTCTGCATTAATTCCATCCTTAATTGATATGTTTTGCAATTAAATCGGACAGATAGACTCCAAGTAAAAACATGTCTCATTTCAAATTTAAATTTAAATCTTAAAATTTCTTTTTATTTTGTTACATTAAAATCTTAAATGAATTGTTTGCCATAAAATCGGACAAAATAATAATTGCATAGAATTCAAGTAAAAACATGTTTCATTTAAAATTTAAATTTTAAAATTCTTTGTCATTTTGTTATATTTCCAAATGATTTGTTTCCCATAACATCGGTCGGAATTAATAATTGCATAGAGTTCAAGTATGATTTCGAATTTATATCGGGGATGTTTAATAATTGCATAGAATTTCAAAGATGTTTATTTATTATAAAAAGAAAAATTAAATTCTAAAAAAATATTTGTGTATATTTTGTAAAATGTTTGTACAAAATGTTTTACTTTAAATTTATTTACATAATTTAAATTAATTACATTAATAAATAATATTAACATGCATTAAATATTTTAATTACATAAAACAAAAAGAAGGAGAACACTACATCTATAACTTGTATAAATAATAATAATGATATTATATTATAATAAATTTTATAATAAAATAATATGAATATTATACGAGAAAAACAAGATTATGTAAAATTGTTATTTTTCTTATATCAAAGAACAAATATATATAATGAAATCAAAATTTATATTATTATAAACATGTGAGCGAGATAATATATTAATTAATTTACGGGCTAACGCTACTGGGCTCAGGTTTAATGTCTCGACAAAAAAGATAACGTTGATGAAAGAGGTAAAAAAATAGATGATCAAACTCAATTATTTTTTAGGCCTGAACTGACAAACCATATTGTTCACTCATTTAATATCTCCCATGAATCGCACGAGCTACTAACGGACAAGTTATGTGAAAATGACTCATTTAATACTTATGTCCCGTGCATCGCACGGGATACATACTAGTTTTTTAAAAAAAAAAATGACAAAACAGGGGGCTGACAGGATAAAATTAGCGTGATCAAGATATGTATAATAATGGTACTTCAATTAAAGAAAAAAGGTTCGATCAAGCTATTCATATAGTTTCTCTAAAATATTCACACACAAAAAGTTTTGAAAAGGCTGTTATTTATCAAACCAAGAAAATTTAGCATAATAAGACTCAAAAGTTAGGACTGACATACGCAATAAACGGGATATGCAGAGTATCAAATCCATATTTTCTACTCCAATGCAAAGCTTTAAACGGAAACCACTTTGAACCTTCTTAATTTAATTAGAAAAGCCCATTTTTGGACACACCCCCTTAAATGCACATGGTTAAGCATTAATTAGGAAGCCCCCTTGTCATACACTGTTCTGCCTTTACTAATTAAAAGCCTAAAAGTTTCGATTCCTCGATCTGCGTATATTCATAGATAAGAGAATCTAATCGAATTATTAAAGAAACTGTCATTTTAATACTCTCTCCTATTAAATGTCATTTTGACTTTATTAATTATTAATTAAAATAAATCTTGTTTTGAATTTTTTGTACATATTTTTTCATTATTATTCTCATTTAGTTAATAAATACACTACGTCTTTTCATATTCTCTTTCTCTTTTTTAATTAGGAGACCCCCTTGTCATAAACTGTTCTGCCTCTACTAATTAAAAGCCTAAAAATTTTGATTCCTCGAGCTGCGTATATTCATAGAGAAGATAATCTAATCTAATTATTAATGGAACTATCATTTTAATATGTAACAAACTCTTTTAATTGTTTCATAGAGTTACAAAGTAACCGGATTGGGTAAATAAACGAGTTGGAACTTTTAAGGTAAGGAATGTGATTGTAGCTCTCCTACAAAACAAAAGAAACTGAACAATTATATTGTCCCTAACTCATTTAGAGCACCCACAATGCTTTGAGTCTCTTTTTACATATGTGGCAAATAAATAGACTTAAGTCTATAATGACATGGACAAACCCAAGCTAAAAAATCTAAAATCTATCCAATGCAAAAAAAAATACTAGGTCTAGAATACTTAACAACCAATAAAAATATAATAATAGTAAATAATTACTATTGTAATTATCAACTA